ACCATAATCCTATTAATGAATTTTGTTGGAAAATTCATTTCTCTCATGATCTCCTCCAAAGCTACCCATTCCACAATCATATGCTTTTTGTAAATCCATTTGTATTGCACATCTAGGTGAAATATATTTTCTATTATACCCCTTAAGCAACTCATGTGCAATAATAATGTTATCATGAAGTACTTTACCAAGTACAAAAGCTGATTGACTTTCATTCACCACTGAATTGATGACCCTACTTAATCTTGTGGTCAAGATTTTTGAGATAATCTTGTATAGAGTGAGGCAGCAAGCAATATGCCTCAATTTCTTCATTGTTTTTACAGTATGAGATTTAAGTATCAAGGTTACAAGAGCACAATTGACTGCTTTGTACATTCTATTATGGTCAAAAAATCATGTATGGATGACTTAAAATCTGTTTAAATCACTTCCCAAGTTTCTTTGAAAAACTTAAAGTTGTAGCAATCAATACCCAGTGCTTTGGTTTCTCCAATGCTTTTAAGTGTTGTCCAGATTTCCTGATCTGTTACTGGTTGTATCAAACTATCCCTTTGTGTTTCTTGTAATTGAGCTCATTTCCTAACAGCAACCATGTCTACATGTAGTAACTTTTGAGATGATTTTCTCACAAGGTCACCATAGAATCTAAGTACTTCCTGCTCAACTCCTTTAGCTCTAGTAATCACATAACTATATTGATCTTCAAGTTTCTATGTGCCAACCTTCTTGTTTTTTCCTCTTACATTGGCATGGAAATGAGAATTATTTCCATCCCCTAGCTTGAGCCAAGTAACCTTTATTTTTGCATCAGAATTTATGTGGCTTTGATTACTTCAACATTCCAATGTTTCACAGCTTCAACATGCTCTTGGTTAAACAGATCCCTTGCTAAAGCTTATTTTTCATATTCTAGTTGTGCCATGCTATGGTGTATTCTTTGAACTCATTAGTGGATCTTCTAGTAAGTGAAAAGAATGAGGTTATTCTCTCCAAATTGCAGTGGTAGTGATTGTGTGGAAGGTTACAGACAAGACAAATTTCTTCTCAAATATTCAAACAATTAATCGCTCAATGAATGATTAGGATCTGAAGGTGACTGCTACACATGAAAGCTTGGAGAAAATTAATGATATTGGAAGATCCAGAAGCGTTAATCAAGTGAATATTACACATAAGAGTTTGGCATTAAGCTGAATACAAGTTAAAATCCAGATAGAAGATTTATTTTCTTCAGCATTATTATGGGCTAGTGATTGTATGAACTCTTACAATATTTGTCAAAATAAAAAGGAACAATGCAGGTTCCAATGAGAAACCATTGAAGAGTGCATGTAGGCAAAGCGAGGAAGAATGTTAAAGCACTATAAATCAAGTGTCCTCTCTCTCTCTCTCTCTCTCTCTCTCTCTCTCTCTCTCTCTCTCTCTCTCTCTCTCTCTCTCTCTCTCTCTCTCTCTCTCTCTCTCTATCTATCGCGCATTTGATTTTTGTAGGATACTGCATGCTTAGGTTTTTATTTCTTAGCTTAGTTTATCATTTATTCAATTGATAACTATTTATTCTGTAAAGTTAGGTTTTGTTAGAATTGGTTCCTAATCGAGCTTTAATGGCGATTAAATTATGAGAAACTGTTGAGTTTAGAATTTGTTAAAATTGAATCGTTGTATAAATACACCTCGCGAAGTATACAACTGAATCAATTGAATACCTTATTTGTCATCATTAGAACATCTTTGATATTTGTGAAGTGAATAAGTGTTGACGTAATCTAATTTCAATAAAAGTGTAATTCTCATATTTTTGCTCTAAATCTTCCGCGCGCAAACTTTGAAAACCTCTGATAATTCATTTTTGAAAAATAGATTGAATTTTGTTTTAAGTCTATTCACCCCTCCAGACTATTTTCTTACTTCATATTCTCACCTAATATTTCTTATGTTTGGAGTTACTTGGTCAACAAGTGACATCTAATCTAACTCTTGTTATAAGACTAATCACCTCAGGAGGTAATATGACGACTTTAAATACTTCTTCTTTTAGCAAGAGGCGTTTCATGAACAAACTTTTACCATTTGATGATGAAAGGTTTACTATAATAAAAGTGAGAATATTCATGGTTTTTTACCTGTTAATTTTGAATTATGTTTTAGAAGGCCCTTTTGTTTATATTTATTTTGTTGATAATGAAGTAATAAACAAACCGAAAAATATGTGAACCACACAAAAAAGAGAAAAATACAGCAAGGATTTAAAACTAAGTACTTGATAGTAAGTGTGTTAATCACTCACTAATTATGTTTTTAATTATATCATTGCTAAAGAAACGTGGGACACTCTTTAGAAAATCTATGAATTTCCAAATCAGATAGAAAGAGAAATGATAAACATAATTATCCCAGTAGGTTAGACACTAAGTGACAACGAAGAAAATCTTAAAAGATGGTTACCAAATATGAAAGCACTTAGAAATATCAAAACACTTGAAAATAATTACAAAAATGTCGTACCATCATATGAAGAATTTATAGCACCATAGGAAATACCTGTGGGAACATATAAAGAATCTTCATCATCTAAATAATCTGAAATATTTGAACAATCATTTGAAGGAGTATCCAAAATTTGATCAACAATTAACTTTGAAGATACAAAAGATGTTGATGAACCATATGATAAATCAAATAATAAGGATATCATCAAGAACCTTAAAGAACTAATTCAATTGTTTAAAGAAGAAAATTCAAATGCATCTGAAAGATCATCCAAAGAATTATCTAAAGAATCTTCACCAACATGTGAAGAATCTTCTAAAGATTCATCATCAGAAAGACCATATGAAGAGTCTGGAACATCATATGAAGAATTTGTGGCATCATATGAAGAACCTTCATCATTTAAATAATTAGAAGGATTAGAACAATCATTTAAAATTTGATTCGACACTTAGTTCTGAAGATGTAAAAGATGTTAATGATAAATCAAATAAGAACGAGATCATCAAAAAATTTAAATAACTAATTCAATTTCTTAAAAAAGAAAATTCAAATATATATAAAAGATCAATTTAAAGAATTTTCTAAAGAATCTCCGTCCAAAAAATCATATGAAGAATCTCCATTAGTAAATGAAGAATCTTCCAATGATTCATTATCATAAGGATCATATGAAGAGTGTGAAGCATCACACACCGTCAAACTTGTTGACGCCAATATATATGATCATTTCTTTTTCCAAAGGAAAAAGACCCCCTAGTAATCTAGAACTCGTTCACCAAGAATCAAATTCAATATTCTTGAAGCTTCGTTCTTCAGTGGAAACTCATTTACCATTCGGATACATATGCTTGGTTATAATAATTTTATTTCATGTAAATATTTTTTTAAAAGATTCTATAAATAAAATTATTGTTTATTATATTTAGTTAAACATCTCCTAAAGGCAAGACAAGTGAGACAAAACTTAAATGACGAATATTACTAGTTTTTTCAAGGCATCTACACAATTTATCTATTTATTTTATGAAGTAATGAGGAAGAGATAATCAATTACTCTCTCCGTTTTAAATTGAGTATCACTTTAAGAAATAAAATTTGTTCTAAAATGAATGTTATTCTCACTTTTTAATGTAGAAATGATTGTTCTTTTTTCAATTGTGCCATTTAATTATTACACTTTACACTACTTTCAATATATTTATAGGGTTAATTTAATAAAGTGCAATATCTTGTAACAACGTTATTACATTTCTTAATCTGTATGCAAAATCCTTAAACGACACTCATTTTAAAATGAAAGGAATAATAAATAAAAGTGTTTTGATAAATGATATTAATTTTATCATTAAAAACAATATATTTAATCATTTTTTTTAAGAAATGCGCATAGCGAGACAGAGAGAGTAATAATATTATTATATTGATGACTATTTTATGGACTAAAACACTCCAAAACAATATTTTTCTAAAAATAGCAACATTATCTCTAACATTGATTTCCACTTATATCTAACTAGGTTTAATTATTATTTTTAGGGACAAAACTACACTGACATGTTAGAATAATAAATGCATATAAAATTAATCTATACCAAATAGTGCATACACATATCCTTTAATTTTTTCAAATCATGATCTAATATTTATTTTTTAAGTAAAATGCAGTAATTTATTTCATTCAATATCATTTGCATGACAAAAACAACAGAAAAATGTATTTAGCTGAAATTTAGATAATTAAAGAACTTCATTTTAGTTAAAGTTAAAGGTAAAAGAAAATTTTAAGACATTTGAGTTTCTTGGGAACAATAGTGACCCCTGATTTTCAGCAAAAGCGAGTAATGTAGTCAAACAAACCTGTTCCAAGTCTTCCCGTCTATTGTCTTGTCTATCATCACATCATCTTCTAAATATCAAATCATTTCACTCGGTATTCACATCTTCTTCAAACACTCTCTCATAAAATTCTTATTCTACACAAATAACCCTTTTTTGTTCTATATGCTTCTCTTTCCAAAATTGGATTTTTCTAATAACCAGGTGAGTTTTTTAATATCCTTATCTAAATTTCATGTGATTTTGAATCTGGGTTGTTTTCATTTTTGCTTCTATTGATTCATGCCAAAGGAAACTTTAATGGGTTTCTAAAAAAAAAAGTCTTTTTTTTTTGTATTTGATTTTGGGTGAAAGGGAAAAAAATGTTTCTTCTTTTTTTGTGCCTTTTTGTTTATGGTTAACTTGGTTGTTGTAGTTAACTGCTGAATTGTGTTGATGCTGGTTATTGATTTGTTTTTTCTAGGGTGTGTTCTTAATGAGGATTTCAATACATGGCTGTGGTATGCTATGGATTCTATGATTTTTGCTGCGGATTTCATTATATTCAGTGAAGTATCTAGATAACTTGTTCTTGGCTTTTTTCTTTGTGTTTTTGGATTTTGATGAAGATGGTTTTGAGTGGGGCTTCTGTTATTGTTAATTTCTTTCTGCTGATTAGTTGTTTCATCATGAGTTATGGTACTGAGAGTGACATATTATGCTTAAGAAGAGTGAAAGAAACACTTAAAGACCCAAACAATTACTTGGAATCTTGGAATTTCAACAATAGAACTGAAGGGTTTATTTGCAAGTTCACTGGTGTTGAATGTTGGCATCCTGATGAAAGTAGGGTTTTGAATCTCAAACTTTCCAATATGGGACTTAAGGGAGAGTTTCCTCGTGGCATTCAGAATTGCTCGAGTTTGACAGGATTAGATCTTTCGTTGAACAGCCTCTCGAAAACGATTCCAAATGATATATCTAGCCTTGTTGCCTATGTGGTCACTCTTGATCTGTCTTCGAATGATTTTACGGGGGTGATTCCCGTGTCGCTTTCAAATTGTACCTATCTTAATACTCTTAGACTTGACCAAAACCAACTCACCGGTCAAATTCCTCTGCAATTTGCTTCGCTTACGCGGATTAAGATGTTTAGTGTTTCGAATAATCTTTTGTCCGGACAAGTTCCGAATTTTAGGGAGGGTATAGTTACAAAAGATAACTATGCAAATAATTCAGCACTCTGTGGCGGTCCATTGGATGCTTGCGGCGGGTCTTCGAAGACTAACACTGCGGTTATAGCTGGAGCAGCTATTGGTGGTGTGACTCTTGCAGCATTAGTGGTGGGCGTTGGAATGCTTTTCTATGTGCGCCGTCTTTCGCACAGGAAAAAGGAAGAAGATCCCGAAGAAAACAAGTGGGCACGAATCATAAAGGGAACCAAAAAAATAAAGGTCAGCTAAATTGATGCATGGCTTGTTTGTTCTTAGATAGATTAAGAATAGTGTATGTAACAATTATGCCTAATTGTTTTGAATTTCTTATCAGGTTTCGATGTTTGAGAAGTCGATTTCAAAAATGAGCTTGAGTGATCTCATGAAGGCTACGAATAATTTCAGCAAAAGCAATGTCATTGGGACTGGAAGATCAGGAACTGTTTACAAAGCTGTTCTCGAGGATGGCACATCACTCATGGTTAAGAGATTGCTGGAATCTCAACACTCGGAGCAAGAGTTTACAGCTGAGATGGCTACACTGGGAACAGTGCGACATCGAAACTTGGTTCCTCTTTTAGGTTTTTGCCTCGCCAAAAAGGAGAGACTTTTGGTCTATAAAAATATGCCAAACGGTACTCTTCACAATCAACTACATCCTGAAACTGGCGAATGCACTATGGAGTGGTCTACAAGGCTCAAAATTGCAATCGGAGCAGCCAAGGGATTCGCATGGCTTCACCACAACTGCAATCCGCGTATCATCCACCGAAACATAAGCTCTAAGTGCATCCTGTTGGACGCGAATTTCGAGCCCAAAATCTCCGATTTCGGCCTTGCCAGATTAATGAACCCGATCGATACTCATTTGAGTACTTTTGTAAATGGCGAGTTTGGTGATTTAGGCTATGTTGCTCCCGAGTATACAACAACTCTGGTAGCTACACCTAAGGGTGATGTTTACAGCTTTGGAACCGTCCTTCTCGAGCTGGTAACTGGCGAAAGACCTACACATATTTCAAAAGCTCCAGAAACTTTTAAAGGAAATTTGGTAGAATGGATCATGCAGCTATCAGTCAATGCGAGCCTAAAAGACGCAATCAATGAATCACTAACCGGAAAAGGTGTTGATCATGAACTTTTTCAGTTTCTTAAAGTTGCATGCAACTGTGTTACTTCAACTGCAAAGGAGAGGCCAACGATGTTCGAAGTATACCAGTTTCTAAGAGAGATTGGAAGTAAATATAATTTCATAACTGAGGATGAGATAATGGTGCTTACAGAAAATGGTGATGCTGGTAAGTTGGAAGAACTTATCGTAGCGCGCGAGACGTAAAATCGAAAAGGTATTTGAGATATAATTGTGTATGCAATCAAATTTAAATTTGTAAAATGTTATAATGCAGTTGTGTGACATCAATATTTTGTTAATGTGCTAGTATATATATAAATGTTATGGGCTAAATGCAGTTGTGACATCAATATTAAAACATTATTAATCATGGTTGTTCATTTGAAATGAAAATGGTGTTCTAATTATGGAGTGAGCGAATTAATTGATGTGAAATACCAGAAAATAGCACTAAGAGAAATTTTACTGATTTACATTTACAGATAATGGTACTAATAGAACTAAAATTACATAGAAAGATTCGGAAGTGTTGACGTTAGGTACAACCGTAAACAACGCTAAACTAATTGTCTGAGTTTTAATGTTTTTGTTCAGACAGAAGATAGTTCATAGGTCTATACAAAACAAAACATGTTTTATCATATTGAAACTACATTTGTTCAAAGTGAACTGGTTTATAAAGTTTGTATTTAATTTTTTTCCCATCTTTTATATTTACTGTGATAGTAATCGACCTAGAATTTGTAAAGAAAATCTCTTTAATTGAATATTTTTATTATTTAATAAAAAAGAAGAATTTCAGATCCTTTTGATTCCAGTCAAATGATTGTAATGTTTGTTAGAACATGCAATCACAATTGATGAATAATGGAGGATTAGGGCATGTGAAGAAGAAGATAGTGAGAGAGAAGAGAGATTTGGAGAGAGAGAGAAAAAAAATTAAGGATAAGAATGAACAATTGCATTAAATTTCAGTAGTTTGAGACTAGGATGTCTCCAAGATATTTATAAAAGTGTTACAGAAGAATTGGGACTTAAAACAAATCATTAAACAACACGAAAAAGCTAAAAATCGTGTGTGTAACCGTTTAACACAAACCGCTAACCAGTTACACGAACCAAAACAAAAACTATCAATTATCAAGTATAACCGGTTAACGTGTATGCGTAACCGGGTAATGTCAGGTCAAAAGTGTTTTTCTTGCTTCTAGAAGTGTTTTTTTCCACCAGCTGTAACCGATTACATCTTCATGTTAATCAATTACAACACTTGAATTATCAGGATTTTACTCAATACACCATCTTAATTCAAGTGCTCCAAGTCTTCCATTCTCATGATCATCTTTAACCTTTTGAACACATCATTTGTGACTCTTTTAGTCAACAAATCAGCAACTTGGTATTCACTTCTACAATATACACTACAACAAATAACGCTTTTCATGATGAAGCTTTCACAACGTACAAAACAAAATCGCGGGTACACGTGAAAGAAGCACATTGCTTTATTTTAAAAAAATAATGATAAATTTGTTACCTCGAATATTTAAAAAACAGACATAAATATATGCTCAAGGTTTAATGTTCAATTCAATATTTTGTATGGAACTATTTTATTTTTTTAAAGATTTTACGTCGGATATGTTACCTCGACTTTCAATAAATTCGAGATAAAAATTCCCTAATTTTTTAATTTTTATTTCAAACAAAAAGACGCCTTTATTTTGTATAGATTTTATGTCGGATATTTTACATCGCTTTTAAATAAAACTGAGATAAATACTCTTTATAATTTGTATCTCCTCAATGTCTCTTTCATTTTCTTTTCGAGCCCCAGCGAAATAACACTTCTTCTCCAGCCAACAAAAGAACACTTCTTCTCCAAGAAGCCATAGTGAATAGAAAAATCTCTCACCATTGATCTCTGGTATGTTCTCCGTTACTATTATTTTTGTTGTTGCGAATCATTATTGTTTCGTTTTGGTACATCATACAAAGAGTTAGGCTGAATAATATTTAAGCTAAATAAAACTTAAGCTGGATAAAACTTTCATTAGATAATCCTTACAAAAAAGCTAATAATCATATCTAAATCCTCTGGCTGAGAGATAGTTTAACCAAGTATAAACTGCTTCATCCTCATCGTCAGAATCGATTACGACTGACCTTTTCACCTTTCTGGAAACTCTCATGAGTCTCAATAGTTCGGTTGCACAAGAGCGGTTTATTTCCACTTCTTGATTTTGAGTAAGGTTTTGCACAACAACATTGTTGAAAGCTTCAGCAGTACTCATTTTGATTCTTCTTCTTCTCTAATTTCTTTGGATGAAGTTCTTTTGTTGTTTTGATTCAAAGAGGAATTCCACATTTATATTATTTCTTCCGATCTTTCATCTTCTCTGATCCTTAAAAGTCTAAAAGCCAAAATATGTCAAGTTTACTCATTATTGATTCTTTAATTCTATATGTTTTCTTCTCTTGGAAGTTGGAAAGATCTATATGTTTTCTAATTTTTTTCCACTTCTTACGCATAGTTTGATGTAATAATGTGTATGATTTTTATTTTATTTTCAGAATCTTTATGTGATTATGGATCGTAGTTGGATGAAAGTCAATAGATTAAGTAGCGAGTATGAGAATGGATTGTTACAATTTCTTGATTTCGCAGAAAAAAAACCATCCTGATAACAATGAGATTTTTGGTGTCCTTGTATGAAATACTATACTACGAATAATCAAAGATGTTATTTTCAACCATTGTGGTTGTGATGAAATTATTCAAATTACACGAAATGGGTATGACATGGTGAAGGGACAAAAAAGAGATTTGTCATAAATAGTTGAAGATGATGAATGTATGACTGCTAATCTAGAAGACATCATTCGTGATATTGGAGTATATGTTTTCAAGAAAGCTAGTATGGTAGATACTTTGTGAAGATACATGGAAGATTCGTTGTACCATGGATGTAAAGGTTTTACAAGATTGTCAGATGTGCTAAGACTATTTAATCTTAAGGCAAGAGGTGGGTGGGCGGATAAAAGTTTCACTGAATTGCTTGAATTGTTGAAAGAAATGATTCCTGAAGGTAACACGTTTCCAAACCGTATTTATGAGGCCAAAAAAATATTATGTACAATGGGTTTAGACTATGACAAAATACAAGCTTGTCATAATGATTGTATTCTATATAGGAAAGAGTTTAAAAACTTGAATGAGTGCCTGAGGTGTGAGGTGTCATGCTACAAACAGAAGGACAATGGTGTTGATGACTATGATGATGCAACTAGCAAGGGTATTCCTGTCAAGTTGATGTGGTACCTACCGATAATTCTAAGGTTCAAGAGATTATTTGCTAATGTTAGTGACACAAAGAATACTAGATGACATACAAATAAAATAATGTCTGATGGAAAAATTTTCCATGCAGTTGATTCATTGCAATGGAAGAAAATTGATTCTTTATTTCTACCTTGAACCGACGAACCTTAGGCTTGGACTTGCCACTGATGGAATGAACCCTTTTTTTAATTTGAGTACTAACCATACGTCATGGTCTGTTCTTCTATTAATATACAATCTATCTCCATGGTTGTGCATGAAGTGCAAGTATATGATGGTATCAATGATGATTTCAGGTCCAAAATAACCAGGAAACGACATAGATGTTTATTTATTGCCATTGATTGAAAATTTAATACTTTTGTGGGAGGAAGGTGTTGATGTTGATGATACGTATACATGTGATAACTTTAAGTTGTGTGTCATGTTGTTTTGCATAATTAATGACTTTCCTGCATACGGTAATTTTTTTGGGTACATCGTCAAGGGTCATAAAACGTGTCCTATATGTGAAGTTGTTGCATGTCACCACCAATTACCAAAAGAAAAAAAGATAGTTTATCTTGCACATCAAATATTTCTAAGCCTTAATCATCTGTATCGTAGATTGCGCAAAACTTTTAATAGAGAGCAGGAGTTTGGTATCGCTCCAAAACCCTTAACCGAAAAGGAAGTTTATAGAAGACAACAACATATTAAAGTTGTCTTTGGAAAGAAACAAAAAAAGCACGTGGAGAAAAATTCTTGGAAAAAGAGGTCGATGTTCTTTGATCTTCCATACTGGTCCAGTATTGATGTAAGACATTGTCTTGATGTGATGAACATGGAGAAAAATGTATGTGATAGTTTGATTGGAACACTTCTCAACATTAAAGGCAAAATAAAAGATACTAAAAAATCCCATGAAGATATGATTGTGATGGGTATACTGCAAGAATTAGCCCCAAAAGAAGTAGAAAATATAACCTATTTTCCCCCAGCATGTCACACTCTGTCTAAAAAAGAAATTTTTTTTCTATTGTTTGCAGAGTATCAAATCTTCACAATGATACTCATCAAATATGAAAAAACTTGTGTCAGAGAACAATCACAAGTTAATTAGCTTAAAATCTCATGATTGTCATGTCTTGATACAACAACTTCTACCGGTGGCTATCCGTGGCATCTTATCAAGAAATATAAGGGTGACTATAACCAGATTATACTTATTCTTCAATGCTATATGTAGTAAAGTTATAGATATTGGAAATTTAGATGAATTAGAACATGAAGTTGCAATTAACTTGTGCCAATTAGAGATGTTTTTCCCTCCATCATTATTTGACATTATGATTCACTTAGTTTTTCATCTAATAAGGGAGATTAGAATTTGTGGTCCATTTTATTTGCGGTGGATGTATCCGGTAGAAAGGTACATCACAAAAGAAGCGATTGAGATTTGTACAAACTATTTGTCAGATGCGAACGATATAGGAGTTTTTGAGTCTCGTCATGACGGATTTTATGATGGTAGAGGTATTCAAGATTTAAATATTAAGACACTTAGTCAACAAGTAGTTATTCAAGCACATTTATATATATATATTGAATAACCTTAGTGAATTTGATCCTTACTTGACTGTGCACAAAGCTCTTATAAAGAAAAAATACCCACGGATGAATGAAAAATGGTTGTTGACGGAGCATAACAAAACTTTCATAGATTTTGGTTTAATGAAAGTATTTCTAAAAAGAGTGATGCATCTGATAATTGCAAATGGTTATCACATTTTCCTAAGTTTAATATAATTACTTGGAGTTCATACGACATTAGTAAATATTCGTTCTACACAAAATCAAAGGATGATCGTAGCAGTATACA